AGTCATGCAGGTGTCAACATTTCTAAAATTTGTACAGAGGCTCAGCAGAGCTGGGAGGGTGCAGAGCATTATGCTAGAAGTTATTAATAGCTGCTATCGACCAGTTCTTTGATCTACAGGCAGTTGATTACAGCTGCTGCTCCTGATGATGAGGCACCAGGAGTCTTGCCTGTACCTCAATTTCCCTTTCCAGTTTTCAGATTTTTACTAGAACAAAAAACTTTCCCCCAAAATTTCAAAATAGATGGGATTCAGCAGTCAACACTGCAGTCAGAAAGGCAGACACAATCAAGTGAAGCATAAAATCTTACTTCACAGGGGGAATATCAGGTCTTTGAATCCTGCCTCTAGCAAAGTCTTTGAAAGGCTTAAAGGTTGACATCACACAAAACAAACCTCCAGGGAACACAGCTCCTTTCTGAAATTTTCCATGTAGCCCTTAATCCATATCCATGAAAACAAACTTAACATTTGTTCCTTATAAATAATTAGAGGGGCGTAGTCATCAGTTCCCACACTCTTCCATGCTTTAACCTGAAGAAGAAAAGGTAATTTGCTACTCAAAGAGTAGCCACTGTTGGAAACACCTAAGAAAATAGGATAAAATATCCACCTATCACTTTATGTCAGCGCCGTCTAATCCTGCTCTCTGCTGGTAAGCAATATGGTAATCAAAAGACAACACAGAGAAACATTCTGAGATAGACAAATTCAGGCAAATTTCCATTTCATTTGATGCTACCAGCTAAACTCTCTATCAATGTGCCCAAAACTTTACAAAATTCCTTTTCTGAGAAACAGGGATGAAGTGGATCCATAGCATGATACTGATGTGTACCACACTATGCCGCTCTGCTTGCTAAGGCTTTAAAGGTCATCGGAGCCAGTATTGCCTGAAGTCCCCACTTACCAAGAGAAGAAAAGAGCATTTTTAAGGATGCCAAAAGCAACAGAGGTTTGTGCACAGTGCGACAATCCACTCTATGGCTTGAACATGAATGTGAGGAGTATCAATTTCTACAAGTTCTACTCGATTTGAATTATCGCATCTATAAATCTATATAATGGTGGAACTAGGCATGAAGAAAGGAAAACTCACACACTTATGACTATTGTAAAGCCTATGCAATAAAACTGCCAAGCTTTAAGATCACAGACATATTCCAAATATTTCAACTCATGACCATAAAGCCCATTCCACTATGGAAAAGAACAGAGAGAGGGAAACTATTTGGCAAATGCATGTTAACGTTTACCTCATTACAGTAACGTTTCAGATTACAAATTTTCAAAGAGAACTAAAAATAATATAAGAGTTCCTTCAAGAAACACTTCTATCTTTGGAAAGAATGTTTTTTCTTAGAGAAAATCTAGTAAAAAGCATTTAATAGAGTTACTGGTATTCTGGGGTTTTCAGGCCCAATGCCAAGAAGTGAAGAATTAACAGCAGACACATACTTTACTTTTACTTTACACCCTTAGAGTAAAGCTCTTATAAACACACACTCACTTACACCTTGCTACACGTGTGATACAGCGGATCACTTAGACTAGACCCCAGAGAAGACACCACACCTGCTACGTTTCATTACCCCTTTACACAACCCTTTAACCTGCAGGGACTAGTTGTCACTCACAGCTGTACAGCTGTGCAGTACAGCTATGCTTAACACAAAGCTCACTCATCACACCCAAAGATAATTATTCTTGGCTTCTGCCAGCTTCAGGTGCAGAATAATAACTCGTGGGTCTTATTGATCCTGGAATTTTGAAGCCTGAATTTTGCAAACCTGTCTTCTGTGAGAGCAGATCACATCACTAGGCAATTCAATCTTAAAGGTCTCAACTACTTCACCCCTGGGGTTAGAGCATGATGCTTCTTTATTACCTCCAGCTCGGTGTTATGAGCATGCAGCTTCTGGACCATCTCCTCGGCCTCACGCATACGCCGGTTCAGCTGGGGCGAGTGTTCCGAAGGGGTCAGTTCGCTGTCGTACGACTCCAGAATTGCTCGCATCCCATCACGCTCCTGTCGGGAAAAACAGAAACCACTGTTAGGAATAAAGCCCCTAACCTCACTCTGAGGACAGGGTTCCCAGAACAATATTCTACATTTTTGCCCACCGTTCTTTTACACGGCAAAGAAACCCTGATGGATATACACTCATCGTCTTCGTATCGGCATCAAGCCACAGATGAACACACAGTTCTAATAAAAAAAAGTTGCTGCTCTGAAAACTGAACAATTGGACTGTCTTGTGTATATAAAGCCACGTATCCCTTGCAGGAAAGCAACATGCACACACTCTAACATGCAGATGGCAACTGAAAAGAGAGCCTGCCTTCTTTTTGGAGACACTATTCTAATTCAACATGGCTGAATGGGTTTCTTCAGCAAAAAATTTAGTGTAGTACTTGACATTTTTCCTGCCAAAGAGTTCCAGCAGTGAAGGAACAGAATTGTCACAACAGAAATGAAACAGATTTGACAACAAACAAAGTGGCTGAGAGCAAATATCCTCTAAATGGTATGTGACTTATCACTCGTTAAACACTGCAACGCTCAGTGTTTATAATAAATATTTTCTCAGAGGTTAGTATCTCGCAGACAATGTGTTTGGCTCACTTCATTCTTTGCTGGCAAGTATAACCAGGCATTTGCACAGAAAGACAAAAAGAAGGATCCCTCTCCCTTCTCTGGGAGCGTGCGCATTCCCAAGTATAAAGCCTGGGCTGAAACCTAAAGGTGAAACTTTTTGTGCGGGCTCCTGGCTGAAGTATTTCCGAATGTATTCCCAGCTTCAGACAGCACCTAACACTTACCTCCAAGGCATTGACGGGGAAGAAGAATGGGGACAAAAGGCTGGAAATTTCAAGAAGTCAGGTGTGTTTGAAGGAGATTACAGCAACGCATACAGGGATTAGCCAGCTGATGAAGTGTTTTATCTTTTGGCTACATGGAAGAACCTGGATGCTTGCAAGGCTACAGAACAAGGGCAAAGAAGCAAAGGTCCCCGGCATAAATCCAAAGAGCAAAAACTCCCAGGAAATCTGACGGTGCTGCCTCCCTTTTACTGCTGAAGTTTGCTACCTCACCCCATTACCGAAAAGCTCAAGAGCTCTGGACAGACCAGTTATCTCGTGTGAATTCTGCCATCGCAAACATCCAAAATATTATTATTAGATCAATCAGCTTTATAGCTGGGAAGTTCACATCCAGACCAGGACACTGCCACTACATCGAACCTGGAGGACTTCATAAACCCAGCTTGGCTGTGCTGAAACGCTTCCCTGGAATTCTGCTGTCCAAGGGAAATCAGGAATCGCCAGGATAGAAAAATAGGTCCCTCTGTCCCCACCCCCAAATGAAAGGGCTGTATTTCAGATAGTGACGGTGATGTTAACCACTCAGCCGAGCAAGCCTGTACACAAAGGTTATCTCCTCCTCCAAAATCTAAAGGTCAAAGACTGAACACGGATAGCAAGCGTGTGCGTGGGGAAGAGAAGGAAGATTCAAATTCAAAGTGTGAAGATAAGAAGAGGAGCACTGCCAGAGGTACAGTGTGTGTTCAGGGCATGTCATGGATTGAAAGGTCAACCAAGATGGTTGGGCTGGTCAGCAGGTAACAGAACCTCAAAACCAAAGGACAGCCTGAGGCTGTAAAACATTATTTTAACATAAATAGCTCTAGAAGCTATTACTAGCTCCTTGTTCAGGCCTGACTGAAGACAAACATTTTTCCAAAGAAAGAACAGGTTTTGCCATAGTTTAGAAAGAATTATTCATCTGATAGACATATGAAAGGAAATACTTCCATGTTACTACAGAAGGAGAAAACCCAAACCCAGCCACACCACACCTGCCTTGTAGTGAACGCGTTTAGCAGAATGGCAGCAGTACAGGATCGCTCCATCCTCCTCCTCCCCCTCCACCATACACACACACCACCCAGTTACCCAGCACGCACTCTATAAGGCAAACTGCCTTTGCTCAGGAGATGACTTTCATTCCCCATTTATTGCAGAATCATTGTCTAGAGCACAGAAGGGAACATAATGACAGTGTTTAGCAAAGGTATTGGTTTGATCCTTGCATGTTGTTGCAATTAGATCTGCAATTACAGCACCCTCTCCCTTTCTCTGTACTCCTAGCCGCTCTGCTATCCTAATTTTCTACTAAGCATCTTTCATCGATGTGATAATTTAACACTGCAACATTCTCTCTATTACAGCAGGACAGTCTCAAAATCCTTAGCATTTTTTCAACAGCAAACAGGACCCCTGGCAATTCCCATCACACTTGGCTTCCAATTAACTGCTGAATATTAGGTGATTCGAGTCATCCCAGCAAGATCCTAGCAGTTCCCCGAGCTGTTCAGCTGCAAGGAGGACAAACTTCTGCTTTCATGTTAGGATGGGAAAACTGCATGGGAGCAGGACATCCCTATAGGCTGTCTTTCCCCTAAAATCAACTACAGACCACACCCTTCAAAGCCTTTCTCTTAAAGGAAGAGTAAATTTCTCAAGAAAAAACACACGCAGAAAACACAGCACAAGATGTATTAGGAAAAAAAAGAAGTGACAAAATACAGGGCGGTACAATTAAACACTTGATCCTGGAATTTAGTTCTCCTCTTTAATTATTTCTAAATATTAATACTGTAATAAAATCAATTCTCAGCTTCCAACAAGTGGTCCCCAGCTCCATTTTTTAAATTCCTCCCCATCAAGAGCACTTACTGAAAGCTTTTCCCTCCCTCCTAAACATCTTGTTAGTTTGGCAGGAAACCGAAGTTCTCGTTGAGAAGTCCTCTGTCTAAAAAGATTCTCTAAAATGTAAACCTAATTTAGTAATTGCTGCAGTATCTCCTCATCCCACATGACAGGATATTCCCCAAGCCCCATCAAAAATCTCCCCAGGAACTTTCAGATGCCCTCTCTAACCTTCTTCCAACACCTCTGCTTTCTTGCTTTCTATCAGGAGAGTATTCATCAGCATTACTAAAAAGCAGTCCCTCTGGGAATTTCCAAAATTTACCCAGCACAGGGCACCTCTGCTAACTCACCATGGACCTTATACTGCCACACTTCCAGGTGCTCTTTAAATTGACCAGTTTCAAATCAACACCGGAACAGAAATGCATTTTACTCTAAACATGCCCTAAAAAGAGAATAATTGGCTTTGATGTTCATTATAAACCTAGGAAATTAATGCCCCACAGCAAACTGGTGCTGCAGCTTGCAGCTGTGTTTGAGGAGACATAAGTTTGAAAAAGAGGAAGGATAGTGATTTTTTCAAAGGTTGAACAGTTTCTCTTCCTTCTGTCAGCAACAGCCAATTCACCAACCAAATATGCCTCCTACTATTGCATAAATAACTAAAAAGAAAACGTGTTTTATAATTTTAACCACAAACTAGAGCTAATTCCATGAAAATCTGCTACTGGAAAGTACCGGATGGCAACCTCTGCAAAATGCCATCCCCAAGATAAAGCTTCTCTCTAGTCCTCCCAACAGCTCCTCTATTCCCTCTACGTTAAGCCAAAATTCAACCTGGCTGGCGAGTAGCTTGAAGCTAAAGGAAAGTTTCTTTCCTCAGTGTTCACACATCAGTGGTTTAGAAACAGCAGTAATATAAGCGTGATCCTCCAGGTCTTTTGGGTTAATTTTAGGAAAAGACCTGAGAACTGTTCACATCCTGAGAACTGTTCACATAAGCACCATCATCATCATCATCATCCCCACCAACAAGTCCCTGGTCACTGAAGCAGTGTTACCGCACGACTCCAAAGGCAGCCCAGAGCTTCAAATATTTGCACACTGGGCAGTATGAGAGTGACTCCGAGCTGTGTATTGGAAGCAACCAAAGAGCAAAATGTAGCAAAAAAAAAAATTAAAAAGCCATCTGACCTTCTATACTTACATATAAACTCAGGTCCTGTCCCTGTTGACGCTCACTAGCCCCTCCTCAAACATACATACACACACACAATTCACCACAGACTTTCTAATTAGTTGAAGAAAAGAAAAGAAAAATCAATAAGAAAGAAATTAAAGTTACAAATCTAACTGAAGTCAGTCACGCACTCAGGGAAAATTTGTTCCTGGGGTAAAGTTTATCTAGTGTCGTAATTTTATTGAAATCCTATATCTTCCTATTGACTTTTATCGTTTCAAGCTGGATGCCAGAGTTATCATTATTAGAGTCTCAGTGTTGCTTGCAGGCCCGAGGTTTGGTGGTGGTTTTGTTTTTTTTTCTTTTATAAACAAGCTGTAATTGTCTGGTTTATTGATCAATAAATCTTTCAACTGCCTCTCTTCACCCAGCTTCTGTTCTGGTAAGTCTCCTGCACCATTCTCTGAAAGAAAATATAGGGTGGTTGTTTTTTAAAGAACAGATTGTTTTGTCATTAGCAATGAAAGAGCAGGAATTGTGCCGGTCGGTTCCGATAATGGCTTTTTAATGACAGATTCTAGTCACAGTAAAATCTGCTTTATTTCCAGACGAGTGAACTTCAACTATTAATCCCCAACCCAAACGCACAGCTCGCTCGCTCTCTCACTTCTGCACGGGTTAGAGCCTGGCAGAGGAGACAGACTTTGTAAAGTAGAATCATAATGATATTTCCCACTCGGTGCTTTTTTGATGGTACAGAAATATTCCTGTTCCTAGCGTTAGATGAGCTTTTTGTTTAATTAATGATAATTTTTGGAGAATGTTAATAGACTGCTTCATTATAGGAAATCAGTGGCAAGATTTCCCCCTCCTCTTCCTCTCCAGACTCCTAACTCCAAATTAGTTGCAATAAGAGAAAATTTTGCGACTGAAGAAAGAATATGGAGCTTCAACATCAAACAGATGCTATTTGCAATCAGGTATAATTTAGCTAACTATTCCTCGTAAAAACACAAATAAAAGAGAAAGATGACTGTGTAACAGAGGTCTATGTTTTCTTGCTTTAAGCTATACAAACGCACACAGAAAGAGGGAGACGGTAACTGGGGCTTGACCAGATGTTTAACAGTAGTAAAATCAGGAGCGTGAGGTGTTGAAACATTACCCAAAATATGGACAGAAATAACTGAAAGGATATTTAAATTTATTAGATATATCAGGATATATCTAAAGGTAGAAAATGTGTAAATATATCAGGACTTATTGACAAAATACATCCTTAAGGTACTTCAAAAATTAGCCATGGTAATCTCTGCTCCAGGAGCAACTGTCTTTGATGAATTCACAAATGGCAGGACAGGCCCTAAAAACAGGACAGAGGCACAGATCCAATGCTTTAAAAGAGGGATGGAATGAGGAGACGCAGACTCTGGCAATTATAAATTACTTCAACATTTTGATATCTCATAAAATACTTGAAGAAAACATTAACAATCAAATTGCAAGCAGCTAGAGAAGAATCAGGGACAAGAAACAATCAACTCAGCCTTAATATGAATAACATCAAACTAGTCCAATTTCCTTCTTTGGCAGGTAACTTGTCTACTGAACAAAGGCAAACAATAAATGTGGTAAATCTCAACTTCAGTGATGTGTTTATCAAAGAGGAGGATTACAATTCAACAACATCTCTGTAATTTAGAGAAATGAATTTGTATCAAGGTGACGAAATTCATGAAAGCGAAGCCCAGAGCCCTTCACGTTGTGCAGCAACACAGACACCAGGTACCACTAATGGGCTGCAGCGTCAGTTGGCATCTGCCCCTTCTCGAAGGTGCCGTTTGCACCTTCCTGACATGAAACACGTGCATCCCACTTCAAGCTCATGGGGATACGGCAGGATTCCGCCCTATACACCACGGAAAAGCATTAACTGGGTAACGTACAGGAGACTACTGACAATTAATAGGTTCTGCTCCAATCTGACGGCCAGAGGAATGGATAAGAAATTGATATACCTCTCCTATGAAGACAGGCTGAGAGAGTTGGGGCTGTTCAGCCTGGAGGAGGCTCTGGGCAGACCTTCCAGCAGCCTTCCAGTACCTAAAGGGGCTACAGGAAAGCTGGAGAGGGGCTTTTTACAAGGGCGTGTAGTGACAGGACAAGGGGCAATAGATTTAAACTGAAAGAGGGGAGATTTAGATT